TATGGTAAAGGACGATTGAATTCATACAAATTAAAAAAAAAAAACATTGAAATCGTTATCGTTGTCGGCGTCTTAACACTATATTGGGAGCATTGCAACTTGAGGATAAAAGGTGTGTGCTACAATTTCATCTGTATCTGTAGCGTCGTGATGAGACTTACTACATCTCAACACTTTCGGACAAAAGTCATCCCTCTCGATTGCTTAGGGCGTGTCATTGTTGGTGTCTCAATGCTTCTGCAGCATCCTTTAATTGCACATCGTTCGGGAGGAAAACTTATGGGATTCGTGACCTAGATCAAAATTACGAATGGTGAGATACTAAAGAAAGGAACTTTCAAAACTTGGGATCATGACGATTGCCTTGAAGATGAAAGATCATCTTGTCATATCTGACTTGTCTTCTTTCCTTTATTTCTTGTATTTTGGTTATAAATTCTAGCACGAGTCTTTGTGGTAGACTTTTGAATACACATGGTTCGTGTATTTACTTGCTTAATTATTATATCTAATTTGACATGTACATTTACAAGTAGAACCAACGGTGTTCGTGGGTTGAATTGAGACATTTTTTTAAATCCAACCCAATTTTTCAACCTGAACGATCATTATTAAACAATTTTTCTTTTTGGGTTGGTTGTTCCCCGTAAGTATATATAATTGTTTCATATCCAAAAATATATATTTTAAAATTAACAATAAATTCGTGTCGGTTCAAACCAATCTAATAAGGAGGATTCATAAATCAGCTCAATCCATAAAATTCTCGTTTATTTGAACTCAATTCAACTCCAGAAGCTCGTAACCCAATTTAAACCATGATAATTGAATTATGTTGGGTTTATTCAGTTTTTCGAGTTATCGAATTTTTTTAACCCTCGTAAGTAAAAACCTCATAAATCTAAACAAGATGATTTGTTCGAGATAATTCTTGATTCGATTAAGAGCATAATTGAAATTAATCTAAAGTTTAGGGACATAATAGAAATTTACCATCTGTATCGCATGTAACACTATTTTATACGGTATCGCTACCTCGCTAAGCATAATTAAAAAACGTTAACTTTAACGTCGAAGGGTAAGAATAAAACGGTTTAAAGTGTAGTGACATTATTTAATTCTAAAAATATTTTTTATTTTTATAATTATTTTGTAGAAATTAATGATGTTGTAGACAAGTAATCCCATCTGTCATCCACCTTAATTTTCAAGCAATATTAAAAAAATAAAAATAAAGAAAAGAAATTGAATACGTAAAAGATGGATTTGACATTTGCGGTCTTAATTCACAAACAAAATTCAATATAGAAAAACTAAAACACTTTTTTTTTTTTTTTTTCATTTTTTACAATTTAAATATATATTTTAACATTAAAAAAATGTTTTTTTAATTAATGTGTCTCAAAAATACTTTACACTTTTATAAAATCTAAAAAATATTTTATTTCAAATTAGGTTTCAAAATATCAATTTTCAAAAATATTTTAAAAATTTATTGATAATTTTAAACTTTTTTTTTAATTCAAAAATATTTTTTTAAAAAAATCAAAAATACTTAATTTAAGAGTATTATCAAATATTTAAAACAAAATACAAAAATTTAAGGATAATGGTTGGTTAACATTTTTTTTTTAATTATTTAGAGTAAAGTTTTTAAAAATTAGTTCTTCCCCTATCTTACCTGAAGCCAACGAGTTATGAATTTTTTGAAGTCGGAAATGCGAGATAATTTTTTCTATATCGAACCATTTAATCGTAAGTTCATTGTTACACAACACAATGTGATTGAATTAGTTTGTTGTCAGATCGTCGTGTAATCTGACTTGACCAAATTTATGTGTTTGTTGAAACTTAATTCTAAGCGTTAAAAATTAAATTACAATTTAAAAAAAAAAATGGCTTTTTATTATTTTTTTTAAAAAGGTGTATTAATTTTATTAAAAAATTTTAAATCCGTGAAATATGGGAATATGAAGATGTGTTTGTCTGGTAATGGTACAAAAGTAACACCCAATAATTGTTAAGCTTTTGAATAAAGTTGATCCAATTTTCTAAAGGCCTATTTATGAGTATATGAAAATTATATTCAAAAAGTTATCCATTCATGTGATTTTGTTTTTTTCTTTTTAATTTATTTAAGATATAATTAAACCGCTAATAGATATTGTTCGTTTTGGTTCGTTACTCATCGTTGTCAGCCTCACGACTTTAAAATGCATATAATAGAGAGAGGTTTTTCCACCTTATAAGGAATGATTTGTTCCCTTCTCCAATCCATGTGTGATCTCACATACTAATATGTAGAGATATCCATGGAGCAGGGTTGAATGGAATGGAGTCGGAAAAAGCCTTTATCATCTCCATCTCTGCCTCTTATTTCAATCAACGAGTATTCTTTTTAGTTATTTTTATTATTAAATTTTGTGAATATCAAACCTTTTAGGGTATTCATATGATATAATAATTCGATCAACATAACCCAATATGAGAACAATGAAAAAAAATATATATCTCGACTAGTAAATATTTTATAATTGAATTTTATGAGATTTTAGTTATTAATTAGCATGATTTTTAAAATTGTAATAGACAGGGATAAGATAATTAAAAATCACCAACAAGGTGCATTTCAGTGAAGAAAAAACATGTTAAAAGGGCTCGAATTGGTTTATGGAGATAGTCTTCACTCTAAGAGTAAGAAGTAATATGACCATGTCGTATAGTCTTCACTCTAAAAGTAAGAAGTAATATGACCATGTCGTAGAAGATGTCGGGGAATATTGGGGCCTATAAAGGTATGAATACCATTCTTTTGAAATCATAACTCAAATAAACAAATATAATAAGATATTTATTTAAAATAACATAATAGCCCAATAAAAGCATTAAATTTCACAACCAGAATACATATTTATATTACCAGTTTTGTCTGCACAATAAGGTTAAACCCACACACAAAGCCACCGCAGAATTCGACTTCTCTGCCTCAACATATTAAGCTAACAACAATTAAACTTTTTTTATAGACCCATGTTAATTTCCTTCCCATCCCACTCCCTAACTACCTCGTCGATGAGACCACGTAACGTCCAATCACAGATCACGTAACGTTGCTACCGACACGAAAAGAAAAAAAAACCCCATCCTTCAAAACATGAATATCCCCCGTTCCCGATTCATCGTCTAGTCCACTTTAACATCTTCGGCTGTGCTGTAGTATGATCCTTCACTGCTTTTCACTTCTTCCTTCAACTGATTCCACCACCAACAAACAATTAGAACACAATGATTTAACAGGTGCGGTGTAGCCCGTTAAAAAAGAACAAATGAAATAGATTTGATGTAACATCCCAAGCGGCCTACAGATAACAGATATTGTCCGTTTTAGCCCCTTACGTATCCCGTTAACCTCATGGTTATCAAACGTGTCTATTAGGGAGAAGTTTCCACGTACTATAAGGAATGTTTTGTTCCCTTTTCTAACCGACATGGGATCTCACAATCTACCCCTTAGGGACCCAGCGACCTCATTGGGACACCGCCCGAAGTCTGGCTTTGATACCATTTGTAACAGCTCAAACCCACCGTTAGCAAATATTGTCCATTTTAACCCGCTACATATCGTCGCCAACATCACAGTTTTAAAACACGTTTGTTAGGGAGAGGTTTTCACACTCAATAAGGAATGCTCCATTCCCCTCTTCCACCAACGTCGGATCTCACATTTGATCCAACCAAATATAGTTAAACTAACAATCCCAAGGCCACGCTATCGAGCCAAGCTCAAACATGGGTATATATAATGTCCAGTTGGAGAAAACATGAAACCAATGCAAGTTCCCAACACCATATACAATCAATTTTCGGGGTGAAGGTGGGGGCGGGGGCGAAAACAAAATGCTTACCTTCTTAAGGATCTTCTTTTGATAGCGATACCCCTGAGGAAGTAAACAAATGAGTAACTTTTATGAGCATGGTTTTACTGGAAGAAGAAGTGGGAGGTAAAATTATAAGAAGAGCAGCATAACTACCTTGTCAGTTCCGTAAATATAATCACAGTAGGTAAATACTGAAGCAAAGTTGCTATGGCTTTGTCCTCCAACATAGTGATGGTAATCATGATGGTCCGCACCACCGTAAAATGGTATGAATTTCGTTAGACTCCAGGGGAAATCATACCTGAATATGAATATAATATGTATAAATAAAACCTGGGATGATCTCAACACTCTAAAGAGGAAGAGAAATGATATAGTTCTCACGAATAGTGTAAAGGCACCCGCCTACCACTAGTAGATATTATCTTTTTTGGGTTTTTTCTTTCGAGCTTCTCCTTAAGGTTTTTAAAACGTGTCTACTAGGAAAGATTTTCACACCCTTATAAAGAATACAATCATTCCTCTCTTCCAACGATGTGGGATCTCACAATTCATCCTCTTCGAGGTCAACATCTTCGTTGGCACACCATCCAGAATCTGGCTTTGATACCATTTATAAAGGTCCTAACCCACCGCTAGTAGATATTATCTTCTTTGGGTTTTCTCCTCAAGGTTTTTAAAACACGTTTGCTAGTTCCACACCTTTATAAAGAATGCAATCGTTCCTCTATTCAATCGATGTGGGATCTCACGAGTAGTTTATTTGTAACAAAGTACGATCGTATTACGATTTTGGTCTCTATGGTTTGCACGGGACTTCAACTTGATCTCTATAGTTTTAAAAGTTTATTATAGTCCCTCTAGTTTGGGACTACCTCCCTGAACATCTCCAGTAGTGTAACAACCCAAGCCCATCGCTAGAAGATATTGTCATCTTTGGACTTTCCCTTCCGAGCATCCCCTCACGGATTTAGAACACGTCTTCTAGGAAGAGGTTTGAGGTTTCCACACCTTTAATAAATAATGTTTCGTACCCCTCTCCAATCAACGTGGGATCTCACAAGTATTAAGTGGACATGGTAAAGAGAGAAAACAGTGGATTTTGGAGATATGCAGTAAGGCTTACCCATTAAACCTTTACTCCTCTCATTCACATTCATAGAAATCATAAGAAAACTACTAACAATCAGTGATGAAAGATGATAATTAAACTTCTAAAACTACAAACGAAGAGGTCAATAGTTCAACTTCAGATTACTGTTGTGAATTTCTTCATTTTTTAATTTTTTTCGACATTCTCGTTAGCATCAAAAGTTATACAACAACTTTCCATCAATGTGCATACGAATCTCAATCTTTGTGTGAAGGAGACAAAACAATTAAACTTCAGCAATATAAAATAATAACACAAAGTTACTCGAGTTCAGCCAAGGGCTAAAGGGCTGTTCAACCACAGGAAACCCACCAAGAGTGAAGCTATGTCCTACATGACCAAAGAAATGATTGTCTGACACCGCATTTGTTCCCAGCCATAAGCCTGACATCAATTATTTTCGTTTCCGGCCAACTAAACAATTTGGAGGTCAAATCAATGGATTCTTATATGAGTAAGCTGGCCCCTTGAGATGTCAATTTACTTTTGTTTACCTCTATACTCCTCTAAAACGAATGAGCCAACATGAATAACAGAGCTTGCTTTTGATTCTTGTGAGGAGGAAGAGGAAGATACAATTTAATAAGGTTGGTTTATTGAAAAGCTGAGTTTATATAATTTATTTGTGTTTAGAACGTACTGAGGGATAGGTAGGTTATTGTAACAGCTCAAGCCCACCGCTAGTAGATATTGTCCTATCCACACCCTCTTAAGGAATGCTTCGTTCCTCTCTCCAACCGATGTGAGATCTCACAGTTATGGAAACTTGGATTTGTATAACCAGTGGGATTATGTAACCCATGGAATTAACAAACTCAGCTCAAAATAAGCAAACCATATGCTAGAATATGTTTGGCTTCTTAACCCAAGTTACACGAGTCTAACCCGTGAGCACCCCTATATGTCTATTCCATCGGGCTAGAAGCAATTCTCTAAAGATGTCTTTCTACACATCAGCTAATTGTTCTTTTCCTTTCATTTCCCAACAATCCCAAGGCTATGAAATTTTAACATTGAGTTGGAAAAGGTGAAGCCCCATAAACAACCACAATGGAGTAAGATCAGGAAGATCGGGAATGGTCGTGAGCTAAAGGTTCCCCAGAAGCGAAGAATATTGGAACCAAGAAGGTTCGGTTATAATCCTGTTCGTGATCTTTTCCTTTGCCCATCGATATCATTGCAACATCACGTCACAACAACATTGTTTCATTGTACTTACCTACCATAGATGCAAACACATTGACACAACCACTTTGATGTTTTTCGTTTCCCCATACGCCAATTTCATTCTTCACTAAAAACTATAGTCTAATGTATCTACGGTCCCACTAATCGGAGAAAGTAAAGTCAAGTGTTAGCACACAAAGCCTAATACAAAATTGAGAAGAAAAAAATAACAATACTCAAGACTAGCTACTTCTAGCATGTTAAATCATGGATCTTGAAATGATATCCATAAGTTTAAAGCATAAAGGGGTAGTGGGCCCTATAATAAGTTTAGTATATAAGAATCAAGCTTCTAAGCTTCTCATAGAAGATTTATACACCCCCTTACGATAAATTCAAAGGAATATCGAGCTTTCACACAGCTGTATGAAGAATGCGGAAGCTCAAAAAGTTGATGCTAGACAACTCAAAGAATGGTAAATTTAACCCTTTCAATATTTCTCAACACAAAACTTCAAACTTCGTTATATCAAGTTAGTAGGATCAATCATTCAGCATGCAATAAATTCATACAGTAATGATGGAAATCTATATAGATAAAATATATATATATATAATGAGGAAAAGGAAATCAAGATTAAAAAAGAAGAAAGCAATAGAGCAGATCTCGGTCGTAGTCAAAAAAGAGGTAAGCCCACCACTCAAGATCCTTCAGATTAAAAGTACTTTTAACACAGTGTGTGAGAGATATAGCTTTAGAATTCATACCCACTATGCGTGTCAATGGCCTCAATCTGCCTTAGCGCAATCCACAACCAGAAGGTGATCATATGACCAGGAACCATAGCAGGACCAAGAAAAGAGGGGATTCCAAGGATCAAAACCTCCGCCCAATGAGCGTAAGGAGCTGCAAATCCAATAGGAGCAGTGTATTCATGATGAACTTGATGGATATTCTCATACCCCCATTTGCAATGGAGGAATCTATGAATCCAATAATTGGTATAATCCTCCACCATGAAATACACCACCAATTGAGAAACAATTTCCCAACCAGAAGGCAATGGCAAACCCGTCCTGATTCCAATCATCTAATGATCCAAAAGAAACCGAAAAACAATCTCAAAATAAAAATCCTAAATCAACAAGAGGGTAGAAATCGCGAAATCGAAACCCGAGATTCACCTGAATGGAAGGGAATGAGACAAGTTGAAGAGGGCCAACGACAAGGAAGAACATGCGCATAACATCCTTGTAGCAGCGGAAGATCTCGGAAAATGGCAACCGGACTTTGGGCTGAATTTTGAACTTATGAATCCCGGAGGCGTGCAAGATCTCAAGGAAGATAAGGGGAAGGGGAATAAAGGAGAAAATCAAGAACAGGAAGAGAATGTTATGGCAAAAGAGGAAGTAATCGGACTTGTCATGGGAGTAGTTGAACCAGAGGGTCTCGAAGAAGGTGAGATTGCGGCCAAGCGCAAGCTGGGCGGCGGAGATGGAGTGGAAGGGCAACATTGGGTGGAGGAATCCGGCGGAGAGAGGGTGGGCGGCGGTGAATGGATTGAGGAGCGGCGGAAAGGGGCGGAGGATCGAGAAACAGTTAAAATAATGCGGGAATTTTGAAAGGAAAGGAGAGGAAGAGCGTGAAATCCTATGGATTCAATGTTTGTTTATTGTGTTGTAATATTTATATGTGTGTGAGGCTAAGAACGCCATCCACTCCCTTCCAAATCTTCACATGCCTAAAATACCATTTCTTTTTCCTTTTTTTTAAATCTTAAAATCTTTCTATGTCCTTTTAAAAATTAAGTTAGTTATAACCGCTAATAGATATTATCTGTCCGTTTCTTTACCTCACCCCTATCAGATATTCTCTCTTCCCTCTCTTCATTGCCACATCTATTGGTATCTGGCTCTAATACCATTTGTAACAATTTAAGTCCACCGCTAATAGATATTATTCACTTTGACTCATTACGTATCGTCGTCCGTCTCACGAATTTAAAACGTGTCTACAAGAGAGATGTTTTCATTCTTTATAAGGAATGTTTCACCATTCTTCTCACTAACCGATGAGAGACCTTACCATCAGTGACTCGAACGAAAAGTTTAGACCTACATATACTCATATTGTTTAAGGTAATGGTCAAATCCGTTTCACATTCATTTTTTATTTCAATGATTGTTTTGAAATATTTGTAAAATATTTTCATTGAAGATTAGGAAAAAAAAAAACTAAGATTTAACTACTTAAGCCCACCGCTAGCCATATTGTCCTCTTTGGATTTTCTCTTTTGGAGTTCCCCTCAAGATTTTTAAAGTAAGAGATTGGGTGTTCCGTTCTCCTTCCCAACCGACGTGGGATCTTCATATGATTAGGGTCTATAATAGAACATTGAAAAAATGAGTGACCGAGACACCCGAGTAAAAGAGAAGTATATGAATAAACCGATGCCACATCCAAATGAAAGCGATATTGATGGTATGATTACTAAGAAAAACTTAGAGGAAATGAAAGTTCCATTACGGTGGCTCAATTCTATAAACTTCATAGTTAAACGTGCTTTACTTTGAGTAATTCTACGTGAGGTACCTCTTAGGAAATTTTTTAAAATACACACGAGGATAAAGTATGCTGAAAAGACTTGTATTGGCAAAGAGTAACTAACATGACCGTAACCATGTCATAGGAGAATACTCAAAACGTAAAATTTTCATTTCCATTTTAGGCATTAATTTTCATCTTAGGGTGAAAAGTGTAATTTTAAACCAATATTATTAAATTTATCAATTTCCAATAAATTCAATTAAAAGTTGAGTTAATGAAAAAAAAAAAAAAAAAACCCTTATATTAAATTTTTTGAGTATTTTTTAATATTTATTTTACTATGTTTTATTATTATTATTATAAAATCACAATTAAAAAGGGTAAATTGAAACTAAAGGATAAAGACAACTAAGGTGAGCTGGCATGCTGTGTTGGCCAAGATGTACAGCTGTGCTGAAGATGATACTCACTCGCCAAGTCAGCTCTGTCATGTGGAAAAAAAAAAAAAAGCCTTTATGTATATATTCATCGAATATTTAGGGAAGGAAAAAAAAAAAAAGATAAAAATCTTTTTAAAATTTAAGTAAATATATACATTTTCAATATTATTTAGCCATAATTTAAAAAACGTCTAGTCCACGTGGCTATCCTCTTACATCATAATTTTATATAATTATCTATTATGATCGGATCATAATGCTTAGATAAATTTATTTAATTAATTTTAAAAAAAAATTAAAAATTTACATTTAAATTTCTCTTGCATTAAATATTTTTCAATTTTTCAATTTATTAAATAAAAGTTTCTCTTATTATAATTACGTATTTTAATAACCATTTTTCTATTATAGTTTTGATATCTATTTTTGTTAGGTTCGATAGGTACCTTTGATTCATTATCAAGTTAACCCATTTGATATATATTTAATTTTTTTCTAAATCAAAATATTTATTACATATAAAATAAAATAAAAATTAGAGTTTATTAAATATAATTTAACATAAAAAAATATAAATATAAAAAATAAACATATTAGGACTTATAATAAGACCATTAATTATGATTTTGAAATTGTGAGTTATGAGTTAATGAAAAAGGCCAAGGATCTATAATCAAAACCTATGGTTTAATTACATAATTAAATTATATTTGTTGAATTCAAAATTATGACGTTATTTTAAAGTTAATTTAAATATAACATTTATTTTAAATTAATTTCATTCAAAATTAGTTTACCAAATAGTCTAAATAAAATTATTTAAATTTTTTTTCACCAAAATAGCGTTTAAATTATATAATTATTAGTTTAAAATTTTAATTGATGAGCTATTCTAAGTACCACTCTAATTAATTATAAATTGAAACTCGAATTAAATTAATTTAATGTTCTTTTAATCGCTTCAATTATTGTGCTCATTTATATAGTTTTTAATATCATCTAGCTCTCCTACCACCATTAAAACCACTACCAACCATTTATTTCTAATCTATAGTTTAAATTAATAAAAGTATTCATTTTTCGAACAAATTTTTTAAAAAGTTTAAAAATAGTCGACGGGTTAGTACTATGTTTAAAAAATACACAGTAACATTAATACTTCTTATCTTTATGAAAAAAGATAGAAAAATATTTGACGTTAATATAGAGACAAAAATCTTCCTAGATCATTTTCGAACCTTTTGATATTATTTTTGAAAAATTATAATTATTTTTTTAAATGTGGTATTAATGGTAAAAATGTTTTAAAATTTTTAAAAGTGTTTTTTTTAATTTTTTTAAATAGTTTGGTGTTTTGGAAGTTTATAAAAAAAAATAACCGTATGAATGAAAATTTTGAAAATTGAAGGAGTATAATTGAAACAATTTTAATCATTCAAGGTTGTTTTTAAAAAATTCAAAAATATCTAAAACTTATTTAAACTTTTAAAAATACTCCTGAATTATAAAACATAATATATAATTTATGAGGTGATAATAGACGATTTCCGTCTATATATTGATGGTAAGAAAATTTTAAAATATATATTTTTTTTTTGTAAAGATAAAATATATTAATATTAATTTATTATTTTAATTTTATGTGTATTTTTTTAAATTAGTATTAAAAAAAATGAATATTAATGATTTTCTTATAAAAAAAAGTCAAAGATATTTAATTTTTTTTAGAACGGGAAAATAGAATTTCCAACCTTTTTTTAATCTATTTTTAAGATTGCTATAAAAATATAAAAAAAATATTTAACGTTTGTAATTTGTAATGGAAGTGATTCATCATGTTTGTTTCCTATTTAAATTTCATCAAATTATTAACTAATAGGTACGTTAATAACTAATTTTTTAAAAAATAATTAAAAAAATTACTACGACCTAACTCAACTAAAAAAAATAAATGGTAGGGTTGTGAATAATAGTCACCAAGCCAACTAACTCGAATTTTTGGGTTGGTTTAAAAAATTCTCTTAACCCAATTCATACACACCGAACGCCGCTAGCATATCACATTACAAAACATTAAAATAACTAAAAATTTTCAAAATTCTCATAATCCTATTAATTGATATCAATGAAGAAAAAACCAACGAACAAATAATTATGAATCCAAATTTTACTATCTAGATCAAAATTCATGATTTCCGCCGTTATAATATTTTTTTAAAAAGAAAAAGATAAAAACAAAGAAAACGACACGAGCCGCCAAAGTTTGACCAATTGACTTTTTGAGAGATACGAAAATTATTATTTATTTAGATATATAATATATAGTCACGCTCAATCATCAAAAAAGACTAAAATGACATTGTCATACACGATACAAACACCATCATTCTTTCGTCCATCGATTATTTTCGACTTTTCACATCATCCCCCACAACCCTTTTTAATCATACCATTTCTTTAAATTATTGCTTGATTACGAGATTTCACCCATCTTCACTTCTTTTTATCCCTTTCTAAATATATCTATCAAATTTTTATTTTTATTAATTTATATATATATATAGCTCGTCAGAATCACGTACCTGAACATTGATTCGGCTTCTTAATTTTGGATTATATAAATTAAATTAATAAAAATATCGTCTCAAACATATTTCTAAAAAATATATTTACTATTTAATATTTAATTTAAAAAATATTTTAAACTTTTTATTAATACCCTCCACATTTTTTAAACAATTCAAAAATAATTTTTTTGGTAACGCAACAAAATT